TAAATGAAACCAAAAAATTCTAGATTTTGCCAATGATACATAAAAAGAATGTGAGGTTTTAATGAGATAAAGGGGCATTATGGAGGATATCATGGGATTTGAAGGGATATCGGAGGATTGAGGGAGGGCCTGTCAAAATCTCATCAAATCACTAAATGAAATTTCGATTTTAATTATGAATAAAGTATCTGTTTTATAATTCCGATTTTTCCGATAGCTTCCAATTTTGTTCCGCGTTCTTCCGCTTTCCGCTTTTTAAAACGCGCAAAGGCCCATCCTTGTTGATGGTCACCCTTCGACATTCAAATATATTAATTTGTCATTAAAAATTTAAAATAAACCTCTTCTTCATTGTCTTTCATAAATTCAGTATTTATCAAATTAATTTTAATTTGTTTCTCATTTTCTTCTGTATATTCAACAAGAATATTTGGATTATTTAAAATATTATTTGAATTAATTAAATTAGTAAATAATATTAAAAATAAATAAATATTTATTTTTAAATTCATTTTTTAAATTTATTATTTTATAATTAATAATTTAGATTCATAAAAATAAATAAATATTTAAAAAGGGCAAAAATATGAAGAAATTACTAAGTGAATGTCTGTCAATTATAAAAACAGTCTAGTGTCAATGAAAGCGGATTTTTATTTTGTATTTTTTAAGTAAAATTATTTAAAAATTACATCATGTTTTAATTACATCATTATTAGTCTTGTGAGGAAGCGGCGGGGCAGGTCGGTCTCTTTGTTTTGCACTTTTAAATAAAATTTATTCTCTCTATTTTTTCAATTTCAAAATAAAGAAAAAATTAAGAAATTATAATGTACTTTTAAAATCAAATTAATAAATAGCTAAATATAAAATAATTTCCTAAGAGTCTGAAAAGCAAAAGGAATTCAGGGCTTTATTGAAGACTATATATGTACATACTACGGTTGGCGATTCCTCGAAAATCTCCGTGTATACGGAGATTTTCGAGATTGTCTATTTCTTTAGTGCATATATTTATGAACATATTTTTCGATTTCAGTGCATACTTTGTAGTGTTTCACCGGAACCGAAATTTTGACCGGAACCGGAACCGGATCCAATTTAAGTTCCGGTTCCCGGAACCGGAACCGGAACTTTTCAAAGTTCCGGCCCGGAACCGGAACCGGAACCGGAACTTTTAAAAAAATTTTTGCCAGCACATTTTAAAAAATTTTTATTTTAAGTAGGGGTGCGGCTTCGCCAAATTTTTCGATTAAATTCTGCCAAATTCTTCTGTTAATCGAAACGAAAAAAAATCCAAGTTTTGGAAGACCAAATCCCCAGCTATTCAATCCCTGATATCTAACTTGCACAGCTCATTCCCTGGACATCACACCCAAATCCCTCTATATTACCTATAACCCCTTGAACTCACATAATGTAACTCAAAATCCACCTTCATCCATCCAAATCCTTCGATTTACCATACAACTTCCCCTCATAGCGCCGCAGGCGAAAATTTGGGATTTTAGGTGAACCAAGGATACAAATTTCTTCCTTTTTAAGCGCCGCAGGCGAAAATTTTGAGAATTTGTGTGACCAAGTAGTAGATTTCTTCATTTTCTTGCGCCGCAGGCGAAAATTTTGAGAATTTTGGAAGGCCAATCGGGGAAAGCCAATCCATATTTCTTAAAAAAACTAATCCTTAGGGGTGTAAAAAAGTTCCGGTTTGCCCGGAACCGATTTGTAAACCGGAGCCGGAACCGGAACCGGAACCAATTTGAGTTCCGGTTCCCGGAACCGGAACCGGAACCAAAAAAACACCGGAACTTTCCGAAACCGGAACCGGAACCGGAACTTCCGGTGAAACTCTAATACTTTGCTTAGCCCTACTTGAAGAACATACAAAAATGCATCGCCCTTAAAGCAACTGTCAAGAAATTTATTAAATTTATTTTATTTATTCATTTTTCAATTCAAACAATGGTTGTATATGGGAATTATAAATATTAGTATTTAACTTTGTTTCTTTAATAATTATCATATTTCCATCCTTAAAGCCTTCTTTATTTTTTGTTTTAACAACCTCAATAGAAATAGTTTCATTTAATTCTTGTAATATTTCTATTTCATAATTATTTACAAAAAATTTTCTTAAACATTTTTCTTTATTTGCATCCTCAACTTTAACAAAAAATTTAAATGAAGGATCTGAATGGCCAAAAATATAAATAAAATATTCCCCAATGTCATTAAATTTAAAGCAAATTTCCAAAAAAGGATTTTTTGCTCGATTTCCAAAAATTTCTTTTAATTTTAAATTATTAAAAATATTTTTGGATATTTTGTTGTTTTTCCATTTATTTGAATTTAAAAATAAATTAAATTTTGTTAATTTAATAATATTAAAATCGCTCATATATTCCACTAATTTTGCTTCAATTCCATTTAATTTTATTAAGCTTTCTACATCTGTATAATAAATGTCAACTCCAGGATAAGTTGTTTGTACAATGTCCTTTGAATTTAAATCATTTCCATTTTCATCTCTTATATTTATTCCAATTAACCCATTAAAAACAGGTCTAATTTTAACAAGTGCCTTAAATTTTATAAATTATTTTTTGGAAATTAAAGGTTTTCGATGTGTAAATTTTAAAATTTCAAGAAATTTTGTCTATCCAATTTAATTGCCTCATGCAATAGTTTTGATTACAGATAGCAAAAACGCTTGAATCGAATTTAAATTAGACTTTTAAGTAGATTCCAAATCCCCTTGATTTCTAGATATACACTTTAATCCCTAAAAATCCCACTTAATCAATCCAAATCCATTTATATCCACAGATATACTCTTTAATCCCTTCATATCTCCTTTAATCCTTCCAAATCCTACTTAATTTTGAACAAATTAAAGAAAAAAGATCAGTCTGAATAAGTATTTTTGAATACCTATTTTTTCACCAATTTTTTTTCATTTAAACCCCGTACCCGATTGATTGCACGGTAAAAAGTGAGTGGGGATTAAGAAGGTTATCGATGATTGAAGTATAGGTGATTGAAGTATCTGTTTTGCCGCATTTTATTTTCATTAATACTTCAAAATGTTAAGAAAGATAAGAAAAGTGTGAATAAATCGTTCTGGATTGAATATATTTTTATATTTGAAAAAATTTCGGCATTAAATAGGGGTGGCATTCTAATAGAGGAAATACGGTGATAGTATTTTATTTAATTATTTTTAGTATACTTTATATTTTGAGTCATTTGCCAAACAAATATCCAATCCATCTAAATATTCATCCTCAACCTTTTCATTTAAATAAATTATTTTTTTATTATTTAAATTAATAATATCCCTTTTTGTATAAATTTTGTTATTTTCAGGTATTCCATAATTACAAAAACTAAATTTATCTTTATAACTAATTATCGACGAATGCACTAAATGAAGTTCATCTTCCTCGTTCAATATTCCATTGATTTCAATTTCAATTTTTACTAAATTTTTCTTATTAAAATTAACTAAAATATTTAATTCTTCTTCATTTCCTTCTGTTGAAATTTCCTTAAAGTTTTAATTATCTGGCTTCAACAAAAATTCAGATTAGAGATTGGAGTACATCCCTAATTGACAGATTTTTTCAAAAAATAGTCGACATCTTTTTCATAATGGCTAATATAATAACGAACAGATTTAAAACTAAATCGAAAATCATCACGAACGTTCTTTGCTGGTCTGATATGGTCGATGGAAAATTAAAAATCGTATAACTTATTTAAAACAAAATCTTTTTAGTTTTAAAAACATTTAAAATAAATATGTACATGTATATTAACCGGACCCCGTTTTTCGGTAAATCCTAATTAAAAAAACAATTTTCGGTTTTGTGTTTTAGTTAAATACTGGTTTTATTTTGTATTTTTTTCTTCATAAATTTCTGGGTTTTGATTTTTAAAATTTTATAAAATTTTTGGCAAAAAATATTAAAATTTTCGAATTTAAACCGGTCATGTCCAAGCCTTTTTTTAATATTCTAGAGCCATTAAAGATAACAAACAAACTTCCTCTTCATTATTTTTAATAAATTCAATATTTATCAAATTAATTTTAATTTGTTTCTCATTTTCTTCTGTATATTCAACAAGAATATTTGGATTATTTAAAATATTATTTGAATTAATTAAATTAGTAAATAATATTAAAAATAAATAAATATTTATTTTTAAATTCATTTTTTAAATAAATAAATTTAATATTAATAAATTAGATTCATAAAAATAAATAAATATTTAAAAAGGACAAAAATATGGCAAAATATGGTGAAATAAAAGGGCAAAAATATGAAGAAATTAAGTGCATGTCTGTCAATTCTAAGAATAATATTAAAAACAGTCTAGTGCCAATGAAATCGCCGCTTTTTATTTTGTATTTTTTAAAATAATTTCAAAATCGGCGTTAATGTCAACAATGAGGAGAGGCAGGCCTTCACATGTTTTAACTTTATAAGTCTTGTGAGTTAGCTTGTAAGTTACTCTTTTTTGTTTTTACCGAAAAGCTTGTTCACGGTCGGTCAAGGACTAATATCCCTTAAAACCTCCCTTAGTCTCTCAACTCCACTTATATCCCACAGATTACCCTTATATCACAGATTGTGGATTGTGGACTGCGGCTGTGGATTTTAAAATCAAAATTGCGGACTTCAGAATTATTTTTCAAATAAAATTAAAAGTGTAAAATATTTATCGAAAATAGAATTGTTTCAAAGTTTTTTTAAAATTGTAACAGAATTTAGAAAAAAAAAGAATTAAAAATTACGTTGTAAAATTAATAAAAAACAAAGAAAAAGAATAAAATATTTAAAGTGAAATTTCCCAAAAATTAAAACCGAAAATGAGCAAAATAGAAGAGGAAGGCAATTGACAGAAGTAAAAAATACTTTTAAAAATTTCAAAAATTTTTCATTTTTTTCAAAAAATTTAAATTTAAAAGTATTTTTTAAAGAAAAATATTTTCTCATTTAATATCCGGGATATGTACTTAAATCACCACTTCGTCGTTTTTCCCAATAAATATATAACTGTGTTAATCCAAACATTAAACCCATTCCGAATAGAATTGATACTAAAAAAATGAATTAATTAATTATTTTAAATTGATTTAATTTTTTAAAAATTTTGTTATTTAGAAGAACAAATTTAAATTTAAATTTGAAAGAGAATAATTAAAAGAATATTATATTAGAATACAGTCCAATCTTATTATTAAATACACTTTTGAAACCGAAAACACTAGAATGGGTATTAGAGTATTGCTTAGGGATATCTCCCCCAACCATTGGCTTACTACATTTAAAAAACACACTGAAATAGGTTGTGTAATTAGTGCCCAAGAAACAGCTCTACGAGCTCTTTCGATTAACATATATCGACAATATAGGAGTTGGGCCCCAAGTTTTACCAAATAGTATACACCAGGGGTGTGCCGAAACAGATTTTAAAAAGCGAAAGACGAAAGGCGAAAAGGCGAAAGTCGATTTAAAAAGCGAAACACGAAAGACGAAAAGGCGAAAGTCATTTTAAAAAGCGAAAGACGAAAGGCGAAAGACGAAACACCAAAAAAGACGAAAATATGGCGAAAGACGAAAAGGCGAAATAACTGTAATGAGGAAAAATCTCTAGATATCAGTAAACCAAAGCTTTGGTTAATTACATGCCTTCAAATCTTCTATCTAATTCTCCAAATCTTGCGATATCCTTCTTAACCGCTAGATAATGGATATCAGAGGATTTAGAGTGATTAGGAGAGAGCCATATCAGATGAGAGAGAGCCATATCAGATGTCCGAACAAAAATTTCGATATCCGGATCCGTAACCAAACTTTTTAATATAATACTGAGATTTACCCAAGTAGAGAAGTATTTCCCTTTATCAGCGCCGCAGGCGAAAATTTTTAGAATTTTGGAGGTCCTTAAGTCAGATTTCTTCCCTTTTTGCACCGCAATAGAAACCACTATGCTGGAAAATAACCTGTAATAACTTTTTAAGCGCCGCAGGCGAAAATTTTGAAAATATAAGGTGTCTAAGGCACGGAAAATTCACTTTTTAAATTAAAAAAATATTTTATTCATAGAAAAATTATAATTATTCTATTCATAATATGTAAATAAAAATCTTGTTCCTAAATTTGGATCCGAACCTAACAATAATAAACTGGTCGCTAGTCGAAGTCTAACAACTTAACCACTCAACCATCAATTACTTTATTTAGTTAAAAGAAAATTATATATTTATCCCCACTCGTCCTTAGTTTTTCTCTCTTTTCTTCTCCCAATTACCAACTTTCCCTCACATACCATCATTAGGGGTGTATAATATTTTCGCCTTTCGCCCAAAAAAGCGAAAGACGAAAGGCGAAAAGGCGAAAGTCATTTTAAAAAGCGAAAGACGAAAGGCGAAAGACGAAACACCAAAAAAGACGAAAATAAGGCGAAAGACGAAAGGCGAAAGACGAAACGGCACACCCCTGGTATACACTGAGGTTCGACTATATATTGTTGAAGATAAGGAACGGCTCTCAAATTTGTCTCTTTAGGCGAACATTATGTAATATTTATTAAGCAGAATCCCCACATTTTTATTTTGTTATAATTTTCCTTTTTTTATTTTAACTTACAGAAAATAGAGCCACCACCAAATCCACTACTTTTTTCCTCAACTTCTGGTGGTGTTGGACAAGGTGGACAAGTTACGGTTTCTGGTTTGGGTGTTGTAGCTATAAATTTAAAATTAAATTTAGTAATTTATTTGGAGTACTTTTTTCTATAGGTAAATAAAATATCTCGAAACATTTGCTAATTTTTGTTAATTCTGACGCCTTAATTTATCAGAAAAGAACTAAAAACATCCTTTCAGACAAAACATTCAAATCTGACAGCCGACTTAAAATTTCCTTTAAAAATCCCCTCCCCATCCCTTTCCTCCAACCTTCTTCCTTTTTTTCTTCAGTTTTAACAGATTCTGTTGATCCACTTTTCTTATTATTTGCTGGGGAATCAACAGCCGAATTAATTTCCAAAGTTGTTAGAAATATAAAGGCCAAAAGTAAAATGATTTTTGACATTTTGGAAAATTAATTTTTGATTTTTAAAAATCTCTGAAAAAAATTTTTTAATGAATTTATATTAAAAGAAGAGGAGAAAAAACTTTTTTTTGAAATAATCAGCTCTTGATGAAGCTAACTTTTGACAAGAAAAAAATTTTTGGGGAAGAGGAGAGGTAAACAATAAAGGGAGGGAGAGAATTATATGACAGTCTATGATCGATGACAGTCTATGTAAATAAAAATGAAAAGCTATAAATAAAATGATAGTCGTGGCAAAAAGGCAAAAATTTAAAGGGAGAGAGAGAAAAATAAAAAAAGAAATGGCAAAAATTGCCTTATCGGGAAGAGAGAGAATGGAATTTTAAAGGGGAATGCAGGCGTTTAATTGAGTTATTAAATAAATTTAAAATTAAATATTTTTATTTAAATTTTAAATTAGGTAGTTGAGGGAATAAAATAAATAATTAGAGAGGGGTCAACAAAGGGAGGTTTTTTAGTCTGTCAAAAAATGATCATTTAAAAATATTTGACTAAAAACAAAAAAAAATGAAAATTTGAGATATGCCTGTCTGTAATTGAATAAATTTGGGATTTAAAATACAGTCGAATCTGGTTATATCTGGGCTGGAAAATTGCAAAAATTAGAATGAGTTTATGTTTTATGTTTCATCAGTGGGAGTATTAAGCTTCAATTTTATTTAAAAATTCTCAAATTTACTTATAATTTTTCTTTTAAATTAATTTTTCTTTCAATAAAAAAATACAAACTGACAAAACAATTTCTATTAAATAATTATAAAAAAATATTTCAAAATTAAAATGATTTTAAATAAAATATATTTTGTTTATATTTATTTTATTTGAGAAATGAGAGAAAGAAAAAGGAAGATTAAAAAAAAGGAAGAAAAGGTGTGTGTTTGTTGTTTGGACAAAAAATGTTTTCTAATCATCATTTAAAATGATTGAATATTTGTTATTCATTGAAACTTTTAATTCTTTTTTCTTTTTGAATCATTTTAATAATTTTAAATTTCTTTTGACGTTTTAAGGTTGTTTGGGCGCTTGACAGTTTAAGCGTGTATCTAAAAAGAGGTGAATGATGGGAGCATTGTAGTAATTGGATTCTAAATTAACAAGTTTTTGCTATTTATTCAATAAAATTCAGAATTTTTAATTATTTTTAAAATTATAAATATAGTCGAATCACTCTAAAAAGGTGCCTCCTCATATATCTTAAGAATGTATCTTATTAATTTTGGAAACCCCCAAACTAATTCCGCGTCCAAACGAATTCTTTTTGATTAATTAATTCCTCTTGTTTATTATTTAATTCAATTTAAATTTAATTTAAAAAAGAGAAATTTAATCAGGAAATAAAAAAAAACAAGAAATAAAATGATTTATTGTTTAATAAATTTGAAAAGTTAAAAAAAAGTTAAAATTTTTTTATAGATTTTATTTAATAAAAAATTAATGAAAGCCTTACTTTACGTGTCTGTGTATCATGAAATGTGCCGACATAAAAAATAAATTCACAATTTCGAGACTCGGGAATTGCAGACTCGCAGCCTTAAAGCTAAGCCTTAAGGCTGATGAAATGATGAATCAAGTAAAGTCGATAAAAAATAATTCATAAATGTACATGAATTGGCCTTGAATCTCAAACATTGAGGTAAATTATTGGAAAATTAATCTTATAAAGAAGCAAAATGGACCTTAAAAATTATTTTAAATTAGATTTATAGATTTTTTAAAATAAATTCAAAACTAATATTCTTCCAAATAAAATTGAAATAATTATTTTATTAAAATATTTAAACAAACAAAATTAATTTTCTCCTCGCCTCTTTCTCTCTTTCAAAATTAACACTATTAAGCTTAAACCCTAGAAATTTTCATTTACACGCTTCAATTTGCTTCCATTTTCAATCCTTTTCTGTCTCGCCTTTTTTTATTAATTTAAACAAATTAAAAATGGCTTTTTAGAGCGTGAGGGGCTTTATAGAGTAATTAATTAATTAGAACCTAAAAACCAACAACCCTCAATCTAATTACTTTCAAAATTGAATTATGTATGCGGTTCAGGATTGGTCGGGAAAAGGGAAAATAAATGTTAATTAATTCAATGTAGCTATAAATTTAACAATCAATTATTTAACTTTTTTAATTCATTATTAGGTATATATTAGTGCTTCGCCGGAAATTTCGGTTCCGTTTCCGGTAGGCCGGAAGTTCCGGGATTTTTTGGTTCCAGTTCCGGCCAATTTGTGGTGAATTGATTGAGATTTTCTAAATTATTGTTGATTAGCTTACACAAAATATTTTTTTGATTTTGATTAATCAACAAGAAAATTATTTCTGAAAATTCTGCTTCGCGTTTTAAAATTAAAAAATTCTGTATAATTCAAAACAAATTCAAATCATTCAAAATCATTTAATTAATTTAAAATCTTCACGCCTAAATAAATCCCCCCATCCATCCCTTTTATTTTCTCTCGCTTTTTCTATTTAATTTTTATTTTTAATTTATTTATCCACAGTATTCCCCCTTCATTCCCCCCTTTCTTTTTTATATTTTCCTTTCTCCCTTTTTTCAAAGCTTTTTCTCTCCTCCTAGTTATTACATACTCCCCACGAGAATAATTAATACAATTTGCTGCTTATTTCTTTTTTTTTTAATTTTTATTTTGCTTTCCACAAAGCTTTAAGCCAATATTTAATTAAAAATATTTATTTACTGTCGGCTTTTCTTTTTTTCCTTCTTCACAATTTTCTAGATTTTCTTCAATGATTATTTATTTAAATAAATAATTAATTTTTTTAATTAAATTTTTTTGATTAAAAATATTCTAAATAAATAAAAATAAAAGGAGAAAGCCTAAAATGTTTCAAAAATTCTTAAGTTAATTAACTTAAATGTCAAAAATATTTAATTCATTTACCACAACAGAACTTTCCAATATTAAGGGTTAGCGGATCCATGGAAATCTTTAAATATATGGATCGGAAATCGATATCTAAAACAGAAATTTCCGGATATCCGGATCCATTAACTTCATTCCAATCCAAAAAATTGGGGAGAAAACTTTTATTTATCCCTGCATTTAATATTAACATTATTGCTAAGTACTAGGTTTTCTGGAAATCTAGAACTTTTTTCTAGACTTTCTTTTATTAATAATTTATTTTTTAAACCTAAATAAATTACCTACTACCTCAAAAACTAAAAAACTACATATATTTACTATTTAAATATTCATTTAAATTGCCCCCAAATAAATCAAATTTGCGCCTTTCTCCATAAAATTTTTTTTCTTTTTCTTAAATTTTTTTTCGACACATTTCCGATTTATTACTTGTTTTTCTCCTATGCCATTTATTTTTTTTCTTTTTAAAAAATTTCTTCATTAAGTTCATAACCAATTCCTCGGATCAACGACTTTTTAAAAAAGACCAAATAAAAAATATAAAAAAAATTTTTTTGAGAGGGGGGGGGGGATGAGGACCGCCTGGAGAGATGAATGGGATGAATAGAAAAAAAGAAGAAAAAACTATTTTGGGTAAAAGTTGACTGCTGAGAAGACGTTTTTTATGTTCTTTTATGGAACGCATTGGGAAATAAATATATTAGTCTAGTTTTTAGTTTTTTCGGCGTTTATTACCCGAAAAAGCTTTAAAAAGTTTTTTGGTTGATAGAGTGGATTGAGGCATTTTTTGGGGTGTTTTTGAATGGGAAAAGGAGGCTTTAAAGTATTTTTGAAGGCTTAGGGACGTTGTGGTTTAAGTAAGAGGTGAAAAGTAATGGGAGGGGGTAGAAAGTACTTAAAAAATATTTTTGTAAGAAAATAACGAGAGAGAGGTGGGTATTGAAAAGTAGTTATTTTTGATTTTGGAAATTATTTAAAAGATAAAATAAATTGGAAAAAAATTTTCTTAATTAGAAAGGAATTTTTGAATTTAGAAGCAGTTACCCTTCATTTTCTCGAAGACATTCTCTTAATTTTGCCAAATATTTATCAATATATCCCTCTAAATAATTATTTTTCTTTTCCTATTTTTTTTATTTTTTTTAATTTAAAATTATTAATTCTTTTCAAAATGCGCATTTATTTATTAAAATTTTTATTTATTATTCAAATAAAAATAGGGGGAAATAAATGGCATTTTTATGGAGAAAAAATAAATAAACGATTGATTTTCAATTCTTTCCAAAATTAGAGTTATTTATATTTTAATGTGTTAAGAAACCTCGTAAAAAATTCATAAAAAGGAGAAAAGGGACAAAAATAATAATAACCACCAAGAGAATAGTTTACCGCTAATGGCATTTTACGGAAAGGTAATTTATTTATTTTTACCTTAGAATTGTCAACCGGAAAATGCACTTTTTTGGGTTTTTTTTTGGCATAGAAAACTTGCAAATCGATCAAATAAGAGCCTAAAATTCTGAACTTTTCTAAATAAATATTATTTAAAATTTCAGAATTTTTCGCTAAATATTATATTTGGAAAGTTATGGAAGAAAATTCAATTAAATATTATTTTTGTTTTGTTTTTTTGAATATAAATTAGAAGATACAAAAATAAAAATTTTTAATTTATATACAAATTAACGTATTTACTCGATTAATTCCCTTCCCTCGAATAATTCCCCCTGCTACGGATGGGTTGAAAAAATAATTCCCCATGGGAATTAATCGAGTAAATACGGTAGTTAAAGTCATGTATCATATTTGTACAAATTACACGTTTCTAAATATTCTTTTGGCTAATGTTACAGGCGCGCAACTTCAATACCAAAATCCTTTAGACTTTTATTTATTTTATTCCTTTATGCTTAGATTTCTCCATTTTCTTCTTTCTTTTTTATTTTCCGGGAGAAATAAGTGAAAAAAAGAAAAAAACGTCGAGGCCAATCTAGCCAATGTCATAAATTTATTTATGCTTTTCTATTTATGCCTTTTACTAAAAATGATCTAAGGATTGGAAAGGGGACTGGCTATGTTAGCAAGCAGTAAATG